GTAAATTTATTGATGATGAATATTTATCATATTCTTACTTCCCTTCATTTGATTATTTTTCGATCTATATCACTATAATCAGCTCTATATTCCATATATGCTTATAGACAAATTACTAAAATTGCTTAAATAATATGATAAACTCTATAAGGTTTTGGTAATAATATAAAGTTCTATATTTCCTTTCGAATAGTCTATTAGGAATCGCATAATCTAAGTTTCGTTTGACCCGAATGTCCTCGTAGTCAGAAATTTATTATCCAATGGCACGAAACTCCATAAACATATTCATAATAGCTGATAGAAAACTCGAATCAAATTATGTAAATCATATACGGTAATATTTGATAAATGGAATATAAATTGTAAAAGGACTATTTAAAAATCAATTACTCTCGGCAGAATAGCAGAAAGTGCTAAAAATCGTGAAGTTGATGATAATTATATTGAACATTAGTAAGGAAAAAATGCCAGGATTATATTCTTGCTCAGTTTAAAGACATTGAATAGGCTTTCAATTGAGTCAAAAATATTAGTACAAACTTGACAGAAAAGCTATATTCAATCATTTGTGTCAGTCTTACAAAAAAAAAAAAAATCATAATTTCAAAAACAAATTGTTGGATTTTCAAAAAGTATTCGCATTTTAATTTTAATTCTAAAATTAAAGATTCTAAAACTCACTTATGTGCTTCAAATGAATAGTTTTGGCTTTGCAATTCAGTTTATATAATTATAAAATAAAACAATCCTTCATTATAAAATAAAACAATATTATTTAACGGTACCATATGATTTAATTTATGATTATCATACAAAATATAGGTTGTGGCACGACTTGAGAAACTTTATTCCTAAATGCATACATATTTTATTAAAAACATTTTTAAAATTAAAACGAGAATTGATCAATCAGTTCGTTTTTTATCAAATCCCGCTTTCTCAAAAAAAAAAACGATTGAGAACCTTTAACATTATTTCAAAAGCTTATGTTATTTATTTGTTTTCTTCAAGAAATCGTTCAGCCAATAGCGAAAGCTCAAGCGGAAAGCTTTACAATCTCTTACCCCAACACTCAGCCAATCACGGTCGAAGAGCTTTTGACCGACCCACGACATTTGGAACACGCGTCAGCTTTCATCAAGCTTTATGGCGATTGATTCAATGAAAATGAAAAACTATTTATAGTATAGAATCAACAAATGCTTAATTGATATTCTGGATAAAAGTTTAAACTTATTATAATATACGCGTTTAACAAAACTATTGAACAAATAGTAGTGCATGCAATCGTGCCTTAAGGCAAATTGCTGGGACTTTCCGTACCACAATTAAATATTCGAGCAAAAAAAAACATTTAATGATCAATAAATATTGATCCATGATTAATAACAATTGTTTTAAATATTTTCAATGAGATAATTATAATTTCTATACATTTATTCGTTCATATAATATACAGTGACAATTTGATCAATCAAAATACTTGAAAATGTTTACATTAAGAAGAGAAGGATACCGAATGAATCCATCTGAGGATATATTACTTACGAGTAGAAAAACGCATTTGAAATATATACAGTTTCAAACTGAATTGTAAATAAAAAATTTATATTTAAAGTATAAAACATTGTATAATAAATTTTGAAAGATATTTTTTATGATTTAATTAGAGTTTTTAGGCAGAAGCAACAATATATTATAAAAAAACGAATATATAATACATATGTATGTATCACAAAATAAATAAGTAAAACTAAAAAAAAAATATTTGTTGACAACGACAACCAGGCAGTTATCATTAACAAAAAGTACTACTTCAGACTATAATTATTTTATTTAAATAGATTTTTTTATATAGATAAAAATATATCTTTGGGATGATAATGATTATTTAAATCCTAACTAGATATTTGAACTTTACTAAATTAATCCCATTTTATAGAAATCAGAGGTTTAATAGCATTTCATATAATCACTAGGTAATTTAAAATAATTACAGACATCCACTTACTATGTGTATTTATAATAGACATAATAATACTAATTAAGCCTTTTACGAAGCTTTCCCTGACCTTTAAAACCTTGTAAAGCTTTTGTTGTTTCTACATTTGGGAACTTAATGATTATATAATAGATTTTTTTATAGTTGAAAATTAATTGTATAAAATGGTTTAGGGGTTTATTAATAGAGATTAGATTAATTAGATTAATCTAATATACTAATTAGGTATATTTTCAAACCGCTGGCATAATTATGTAGTTTCCTAATTTTCAGTTAAATACTGATACATTCCTATAATTATTATATTGATGTGGTATCTATGCTTGTTTCTGTATGTAAAATTGAATTTTAAAACGTTCAAAATAATTAAATATATTATCATTATTAGATGTAATATGTTGTCTCAAAACAACTATTTAACTATTTATTAGTAGTTCATAAAAGTAAAGTGATCACAAAACTCACAATCAGTTCAAATAAATTGTTTAGAATTAAGTTAATAGAAACAAGATAATAAATATTTATAAAATTGTATTATACTATTACGGTATAAATTGGTTAAATTACTGTCAAAACTATTTTTCAAATAGTAGCAATAAACGAACATTAGTAAATGGAAATATGGGACATTTATCAAGTTTCCAAACTTGCACTTCAACAAAGCCTAACTTTTAGTGATATATATATATATATACATATATATATATATATATATATATATATATATATATATATATATAGTATAAATAAATATATAAATCAAGGTTTCCATTTCTTGCTGCTAGGAGACAGAAGCGCTAAAGTTTAGTCAATAAAATATATCTTTAAAGTTCATATATATATGAAGCTTATAAACTTTACATAATATATATTTATACACCTGTGTATAAATACTGATATATATATATATATATATATATACACTAAGTAAGGTTATCATTTGCATATGCGTAATAGATCTATTGTTTTAGCAAGTGTTGGGGCAATGTTCTTGTTGCGCAAGAAAACTAAATATATTTTTATTTCCAAACATAATATTTTTACAACAACTTTTTATCATTTATTATTATAGATTATAGGCATAAAATAATTTATTTTTAATCAATATATACTGGAGTAATCCAATTAGAAACAAAAGACTGATTGCACTTTTAAATAGTTGTAATATAAGTCTTAAGCACGTGTTCATAATATTTGTGTAAATTTTGACTATTGTATCGAACCTAATCATGTATACGCATTTGTATAAATATGGACTTCTCCATGGTCCAATAGTAAGAGCTTAGGCCTTGCAACCACTATTCTTGTATGATATCAAGAATAGAAAACTGATATCACTACTGCTTGATATCAAGATGTCCGAGTCGAGAATTGAATCTGGAATCTTGCAGTTGCAAGGCTAAGCTCTCATCACTTACTTAAAAAATAAAGTAAAATAAAAGCTTTTAAGCACGAAGTAATGTTTACTATTATTATTACGAAGTATGTTAATTTAGTAAGCATGTTGTTTATATAAAAAATTAAAAAAATGACGAAAACTAAAAGGTAAATGTAATATATATATATATATATATATATATATACAGGTGTATATATGTATTAGTGATGTAACGAATGTTCGCATTCGCATTCGCATTCGCGAATATTCGCATATTTTTCGATATTCGCATTCGCATTCCTATTCGCAAAAACCGATGCGAATATTTAGCGAATGTATTTAACAAACAAAAAGGAAATTATTATATAGTTGCATATGAAATGATAACACAACTGATAAGATTTATATATTTTTATTTAATTTTCACTTATTTATTTTTCTATTCCACTATATATTTTCTAAGAATTAAATATGATAATGAAATATAAACCTAAAAAACCATATAATGAATACTTGACTATTTGTAAATAAGCTTTTTGCCAAAAAAAAAAAAAAAATATTTATTTCTATTGCAAACAAAAGTAAAGTTCTAATATTCATAATGTTAACATTTGGTTTCAATTGCACATTTTTTCACTAATTTTCTTTTCCTATGAATTAAAAATAATGAAATATAAACTACACAATTATAGTTTTGCTAATAACAAGTTGACACAGTTGACTATTAAAATAAACTCGCTGTAACTTTAAATTCTTAGTAATTAAATTGAAGTTCTTTTAGTGATACAGATTTTGAAAGACTGAAAGAATGGCACAAAGTTTTCCTTAACCTGATTAGTCATTTTAGGACGCTTTGAATTTGAACATGAAGGAAAGCTTAAGTCCTCATTTCCAATTAAATCCAAAATATTTTTCACGACCTGATCTTTGGTTGAAGGATTTTCGGAAAATTTCGATTTGTACCATGTTTCTTGTAGATTAGCAAGTTGATCTTGAGCTACATTAGAGTGGTAAAAATGTGTTGCTATCTTTTTACATTTGAAATGTCAAACATTTTGCGCGCGCTTTATTTGAAATTTAACATTCGCATTCGCATTCGCATTCGCGAATATTGAAGATGAATACTCGCATTCGCATTCGCATTCGCGAATGTGAAAAATCCAACATTCGTTACATCACTAATATGTATATTTGCTGGTTGTGTAAGTATAACAGATGTACCCCACCTGCGTATAGTTGTTATGGAAACTATAAATAAGTCCTCCTCTTTCCCGCTCCCGCAAAAGTATTAATCAATCAAAGATTTTTTTATTTAGTAAGGTGCATTTGTTCAAATAGTACCCATGTATCCAACTAAAAGCAACAAATAATAAAAACAAAATTAGTCCATTAATCATTTCTCTGTGATAAAATTTTTGTGTCGTTTTGGAAAATTCAATTTCATCATGAACAATTATATAATATTTTTTTGAATTTAAAAAAAATGACAAAAATTAAATTTTAGAACAAAATATGATCACAAATAGTTTATTGAAGTGTTTTATTTGTATTAAAACATTTAAAGAGTGGAATGGTATTTTATGAAGATTAAAAGTTAGTGAACGTTAACGGAACAAAATGGATTTTCAAAGGCCGCCAGGATTACTAGGTAGTAAATTTGATCTTTTTAATAACATAAGTAGTGAAAAAATATTTTTGTTTTCATATTTATTAAATAATATGCATAAATGATTCCAAATAACTCTGTTAAAATACACAAATAAAACAAAAACTTTATACTAAAAGCTCCCTTTTGGTTGTTTGTATATATTAACTGCTATGTAGGTGTACGATTTTCAAACGTTTTTCAAGAACCTAAACGTTTATGTTGCTCAAATAATCATCAATTATTATTACAACTTCATAAATACCCTTTCCACTCGGGTGCCGCGACGGCAAAATACGCATTAATTCTGCATTTAGCGAGTGGAAAGGGTGATATTAAATCAGATAATTTACCTAAAATTATAAAATTTAAGTCGTTTTTCATTATCACATTCTATTGTTAATTAAAATTAGTAATTAAATAATTTTCCTAAAATTAAAAGTCTTTTTGTATTATAACTTTCTATTATTAATTAAAATTAGATTAGTTTATGAGGGTTAAGAACAGTTAATTTTAATGATTAAATTTCTATATGATCAATGTAGACTCTGTCGTATCTTTGATAAGCCGAATAATTATTTCTTCTCAAAAAAATTATAAAATTCATTACAACAGTCACTAATTAATCCAAAATGCAGACAGTTTTATTAGTGCCAATTATATACCATATTATTATTATTACAAATCGATATGCTTGTTCTTCAAATTCAGTTGATGACAAAATTATATGACAAAAAGTATGCAAAAATAAAAAGTCTTTAAAATCGTTTCATTTTAGCTTGATATTCTGCCTCCTATGATTTATGATAAATATAATAAAATAGACACATTGAAAAATGCACTTCGGATTTATTGAAAATCAACTTGAAAGGTAACTAATTTATTATTTAATTGGAAGCTTTTATCTATTTCATTTGATGATTATTTTCATTGGTTATATTCATTTATGATGATGCCTTTATTAATTACAAGATGACATAGATCTAAAGATAAATTTGAAATCCCTTATTACAAAATCCTAAGAACATATTAAATATTAAATGTACTAAAATATACATATGTATTTATAATTCATATTTATAAATATTTCATTTCGTTCTCATTATGGAAATGACTCAATGAGATGTTCTTATAGAATAAACATATTACGTCTTTGAATTGCATTACCCAATATAAATTGCATCATATTCAAATAGCGAAAGCAAAAGATAAACTTAAAATAAAATATAAAATAATATTGTACTTGTACACATATGTTTGAAAAGATATGACCAATATTGTAGTTAATAATTGTTTAACAATGAATTACGCAGAAGAGCCCTGGCCAAATTACACTGATCCAAAACTATAAAGATAAAAGCTCACATGTATATGTATATACATGTATATATATGTATATACGAATACATTGTTGGCTCGTTTATACACGCATATATAATTTTTCTAATTTTGGTCTCGAACGATTCAGAATGTCTAGAATGGTCAAGAAAACTTGAAAGGTCAAAATTAATGAATCGGATTTTCTGACAAAACTTCTAGAAATTAGGTGATTCCTTACGAGCTTTTTGCAAAGAAATGTGATAAAAGTGCAAAATATTAGGGTAGAGCAAGGTTTAAAGGTGCATAGGTAAAAAACTCCATCACCATTATCACGAAAACAAAAAGAGTATGAAATTTTTAAACTATACTATTTTAAAGTAGAAGACAAAAGATATAATAACCAGCCATCGTTTTCTTACGACAATGCTATCAGAAGTTGAACGACCATGTATTAATTTTCATAACAAAAGTATTATTTTTCGTTGGTAATTTTTTTCTTATTACTCTAATTTATTTGGTTTATATTATCTGAGTATATTTTTGAAGTATGCGTCATTAAATTTATTTGTAAGATGTATTATAATTTTTAAGTTGGATTCTCTACCTTTTAACCGTTTTTTTATGAAATTAACTTCCATACAAATTCTAAAAAAGACCAACTAAACCTTTATACTGGCTATTAAGATGTACACAATAATTGTTAATATAAAAGAAAAATGATTTTAAGAAATGCAATTTTAGAAGAGATAAATTAAATTAATACTTATTTCACTCTGCTGGTGAATATTTTAGACAAAGTACCAGATCAAGGTTATATACAGTGTAATCTTTGTAAAAAATGCTCCCATTAAATTAGTATTTCGCATTAGTTGACTAATGTAACTATTATTTCGTATTAATCTTTTAAAATTAAAAATAGGCATTTAAAACTATTTGTTCCTAAATGATCCCAGTTACACCGCCTATGGGGCAAAAAGGGATGGATGACAAATTTTAGAAAAATAGTAATATAAAAAGTATTTCTATAATTGGGAATTTTACTAAATAAAATTCGATTGGTTGTTTGATATGTGAGATCTGTTTTAATATAGTTTATTTGGTTGTAGTATAATTACTGAAGGTCAAATTGTGCAAAAAGCCCTTTGTGAACCGCCCCATCCTATTAGCTATTCAGGATAATAATAATAATTATATATTTATATATATATATATATATATATATATATATATGTGTGTGTGTGTGTGTGTGTATATTTACAAATGAATAAAAACATATAACTATAACCCATTATCAAACAATTAATCCTCAATCTAAATAGAATAGCTGGATGCAATCAAGTGTTTCAGTATCAATTAAATAAATAATCGAGATGGTCGGTTAATGAGCTTTCGCTGTTTTGGATGAAATTGAAAGTGCCCTCATCTAATCATAATCTAAGGCCAAGCCGACCGTGAAAAAACAATTCACATGTAACATAATAATAAATAATAACACGAACATCGCTGTTTGCGATTAAGATATCAGCCGACGACTTTCCCTCTTTGAGAAAAACACTTTCCTTCGTTGAGAAAACAAATTTAATGGCAGAAAAATAAGGTGGATTTTTAATTATCAACAACGAAAATTTTCACTGGATTATGACGCTTATTATAAATTAAAATTATTGCAACAAATTCAGCGACAATTGATAAGAAGCATCTTCTTCTAACATATTACACCCTTTAGCATTTTTTTAATTTTTTCTGTCTAGTTAGAAAGTCATTGAGTCATTAATTTGATAAATAACAATGAATTTTAAAAAGAATATCCAGTGTTTACTTTTTATTAATGTACTAAATTATATCTGAACTTTAGATTATAATTTAGATTATAAGATCATATAAAAAATCTTCATTTATTTATGACAATTAAATTGATAATAAACAATATTTTGTAATGTATTATTTTTGTCATAATATATTATACGTTTTAGTATTAAAATTATAATACAAAAATTATAAGCCAACTAGTGGGGCGCATGGCATCGTGCCTTAAGACAAATTGCTGGTACTTCCCGTGCCAACAATTATTATTTTTTTAAAAACCATTAACATTTTTGAAAAATTTTTACTTTTACTTTTTTGAAAAAAAAAATTTATTGAAAAAAAATATTTTTCTTCATTTTGACATATTTTGGAAATTTTGAATTTTTTTTCAAAGCAATCGTACTGCTTTAACTGCATAGAGACGAAATGTCAAAGCGTGTAAGCGCCGCGTCGCCGTCTAACGGATAAACATTGGTACGGAACCGATAGGAATGTAAACAAAATTTATACTTATTGTTAAAATCTCTATAAAACATCTGATAATTTGATTTGCATATGTCTAATGATCATTTTTGACCGCCAAATGGCATTTTTTTTACTTTTTTTTATTAGATCTCCGAAACCGCTAGACCTGCCTTCATGAAAATTTGATCAATTCTTCATCTTGTTAAACAAGTAAAATGTTTTTTGAATTATTAAAATCGGACGCTCCGTTCTCTTAAAAACTGAGTTACCATTTTTGGCACTTTTTGCCCCGCCAAAAACTAATCAGCACGTCTCCTTATCAATACGAATCGAATGTTTTTTGAATTATTCAAATCGGTTGATCGGTGTTCCCGAAATCGTCGATGAAAATTTGTATCCGCACACACACACGCACAAACACATACATCCGTTTTTTCTAAGGTATGCCAAAATGTTCAGAAAACTTTCAAACTTTGAAACGTAAAGATAAATAAAAATTTTCATTTTCGATTTTTTTGAGATTACTATAACTTACCCTACGAGTAGTTATTTAATGATGCTAATTTGCAGAAATGTTTCTCGTCCACATACAAATGTAAAAAAAATAGTTTGAAAATTAAATTATAATAAAATATTTAAAATTCCTCATTTGAAAGGTTCAGTTGGGTTGCCCCCATGTATAGGATTTGAATAAGGTGTATTAAGGTATATTCAAGAACAATTATTATAGAAGGCAACCCATATTTAGTTGTGAGCATATTTTTAATTCGCTGCAGCAATGCCTCTTTTCACGTGAAATAAAAAAATAATAATAATATAGTTCATTGCAACTAATAATATATTTTTCTTATTTAGATTTTGTTGGTGGAATCGACAACGAGGCCTTGGATTTTTCACAACTAGAAGCCTATATAAACAGTGACGCTTGCACAGGTGCAGGAGGATACTTCTCGCAACAAAACGACTCTCTCATTAAGAAACATGAGTAAGTGAACTAATAGAAACAGAATTATATTGATGCAAATTATAAATGAATAAATATTCATATTCGACATATTAATAATGGTTAGATATTAACTACAATTGATAAAACACTTAATGGTTCGTATAAATAGCATGAAAACTTTTGTTTAGACTGCCCATTAAAAAGTTGCTCGATGTTGATTCGAGAAAAAGTATCTCAGAGTACATGATATAATATACCTGACTATATAAACCCTAGAATTTGCGAATTAATCAATATAATCAATCAAATTGTTTATCATTGCCCCGACTATCTACCCAAAAGTTACCATGATTTCATATAGAACCTGTATCATTTTATCTTTATTAGTTCAACGAGCGGCTTACTATCAGGCCTGGTGCCGTTACATCAATTACAAACATCTCCTGGACAGACAAATCTGGAACCGATTGGAACTTCAACGCAACATAGGTTGCCAGAAAGTCCGCCGGATTCGGGCAGTGAACATCCATACAGTCCGCCACCTCAAGGAACAATCATGGCAGTCCATTATCCACAACCGCCGACTGCCCAGTACCAGATATTGGATGACGCCCTGATTTACACACAAGTAGGATATAAAGGATATAAAGATTTATTTTCCGTTAGTGTCAAGATCACAACATTGACCTTACCAGTAACTAAGCAACAGTATAACTTCTAATCACATTGACTACACGATGTTCACCTGCTACTATCTCTAACCATATTTCACCATTTCCTATCCTAAACAAAAATCTAAATACAATTTTTTATCATCAGGCCGAAGGTGTTGTATACGCCGATCTCCAAACAACTCAACAACAGCAGCAACAACAACAAGCCCAGCAACAACAAGCAACACAGCAACTAACAACGGCCCCGAACAAAAAACGCAAATTGACCAATAGCCCGAGTGGCGTCAAATTAGAACCGGTACCAAGTCCTGCCCCATTGACCGCTCTTTGCTGCAGCGGCAATGAGGCAAACGATGCAGCAGCATTTAGTGCCACAGCTAACGCCTTACTGGTGGCAGCTAATACTGGGGACATGTCGCTGGATGGACATTCACAAGACAGGTGGGTAATTAAGTGAAAAATAGTTTTTTTTGTCAGATATTGATTAAAGAAATTCAAATGCATAGACAGGTTCTTAACTTGTCTTATATGAAGGTTGATTATCTACCTGTGTTATGTACGGATTACTACTTAAATGAGTATTAGAAAAATAGAATTGATTTTTTACCAATTATCATGCTATTATGTAATACTACTGAATAGTATTATATATTCGGTCTAATATAATAACTGCAGCCGAATAGACCGAATAGGTCGAATAACAAATATCCGTTGAAAGCCTAATGTAAAGTTTTGTTTGCTGATTATTTCATGCTTAATATAGTAAACATAATTATTCTAGTAAAAGTTTATTTGTTATTTGCTATTTCATTCCTAGGTATTCAATGGACTCATCCTTGTCCTTACCTGTGTCAGTTCCTGAAGGTCCAACCCAAGCCTCTCCAAACAGTGCGAATAGTGCCAATGCATCCCAGCAGACCTTCCAATGCATCCGATTTTCACCATTCAGGAAAACATCCTGGCATGTTTTGTGTGACCAATCTCTCCGCGAACTGCCAACGCCGCACTACAGAGTGGACGCTGATAAAGGATTCAACTTCTCGCAGGCTGATGAAGCTTTCGTCTGCCAGAAGAAAAATCATTTCCAGGTAAGAACATTACTGAATGTTAGGTATTAAGTATGTTTCTTTTTACTTATCTTCATTTATTGTAAACATTATTCTTTTTTTTTTCAGATAACGTGCCATGCTCAGCTTCAAGGCGATGCCCAATTTGTAAAAACAGCTGATGGTTTCAAGAAGATTAGAGCTTTTCATTTGCATTTCTATGGAGTCAAAGTGGAATCTCCAACACATACTATTAAAGTAGAACAAAGTCAATCTGATCGCAGCAAGAGGCCATTCCACCCAGTGTTGTGAGTCTATAAATATAATATAGAATTATTTAATTAATTAAAATAGTTTATTTTAATAATAATAGTAAAAATTCATAATCCCCATGATTTTTCACTATAGACGACTGCCAGTATGTCATGTGACATCTTTTATATTGCTCTATTATATATTATACGATCATACCGAATACCTAATCAAAAGTTATATTGTAAGTAATATTATAATATTTAGGTACTTACTTGTTTTTATTAGAAATACTAAAGTGATAAGAAAGCGTCCATTAATCACGTAATCGATTTTTAAGGATTTTTTGACCCCCCCTGCCCCTTCGTAATATATATTCAAAATATAAATTTAAAATTGAATATAATCCCTCCCCCACCAAACATCACTTGCATTTTTAGTTACAAAAAAAGTGAAACTTTTTGAATTTTTGTTAAAAATGTTTAGATTTTTTTTTAAATTCAGGAAAAAAATACACCTGACATCTTACTATACCCCTCCCTCCCCACTTGATATTTTGTGATTTTTAGTCAATCCTCCCCAGTAAATACCAGGGGGCACCGAGCGGCGGTAGCAATCTGAAATCGACATAGATTCCACATGCATGTCACATCGCTGAAAGCAAGCTTGTGGATTTTAGGTTGCACCCGCCGGTCAAATTACATGATGTTTACTGGGTCCACTCCCCCTAAAAATCATATGTGATTCAGGGACACTCCCTAAATAGTTCTTCAAAACGAAACAAATTAAAAAAAATATTTTAAAGCATTTTTACACTAGAACAATATCACGTTCATCTTCATTTAAATATCATTTAAATAATTGTATTACGAGATCAATCTAAAACGTGAAGAGTAAAGCGCCGAAGGTTTTCCCGCAGCTTATCGCTCTCGGCGGGCGAGACCTCCAAGGCAACGGTCGCCCGTCTGCATTTCGCGGAAACCACTGCCAACAATATGCGCAAAAAAGGGAGGCCTAATCCTGATCAGAGGTACTTCAGGCTGGTAGTAGCCTTGCACGCGCACACAACTTCTGGAAACGGAACTGGTGCAGGTGGCTCGGAATGTGCAGGCGATCAGGATGGTTATCCGGTAGTCGCACACGCCTCGGAACGGATAATTGTGAGAGCGTCTAATCCTGGTCAGTTTGAGAGTGACGTGGAATTGTGCTGGCAAAGAGGACAAGTTCCAGTAAGAAAATTATGCAAAATTTAATAGAAATTGAATAATTTAAACTAATCTCAAAATAATTTGACACTTTGTGGTAAATATCATATTTTTCCATTTATAAATCAAACTTTATTTAAGAAAATTTGAGCCAAACTTTACATAATTTTTTATTATTCTTAAATTAGCTTCTTTCCTAATATTTTGAAATCTGTTAATTCATAAAAGTTAACATGGGCACAAAATCAATGTTATAAAAATATTTCAACCTTTTCAGGATTCTATATTCCACGCTGGGAAAGTCGGAATCAATATGGATAAACCAGACGAAACTTTAGTTGTCCACGGTAGTAACCAATTAATTAATAATTAAATAATTATTGTTCTATAGCTTAGTTTTTTAGAGAATACAGCTTAATAAAATCTTTTTTAATTTAGGTAACATAAAAGTAAGTGGGCATGTTGTCCAGCCCAGTGATGCTCGAGCTAAAGAAAATATTCAAGAACTTGATACGAGGCAGCAACTGGAAAATGTGAAGCAATTACGAGTAGTAAGGTATTGATATAATTCTTTTGTTATTTTTACTTGTTTGTATTCTCTCAAAGATCATCTTAATATAATAAATACTCCTTATTCAGTTATAGTTATCATCCTGAATTCGTCAACTATTCAGGAATAATGGTAGAGAATGATACGGGAGTTATTGCACAAGAGGTAATTATTATTTGTTATATTAATTTTGTTTCGCAAAATATTTGTCACCAAAATCTATGATTTTAAATACTAGTCCTAATTCAAAATATTAAATTAATTTTTATGTACAACTTACTATTAGTACTGTTTAATATTACCAAATACCTAAGTTTTATAGAGAATCTTAATACTAAACGTAAATTGATAGTAATCAGTAAAAATAGTAACGTAAATCAATAATAAGTATATATATATATATATATATATATATATATATATATTATATATAATATTTATTCTAGGTTCAACAAGTGATTCCCGAAGCCGTTGCACAAGCCGGTAACATCGTACTTCCAAATGGACATGTAATTGATAAATTTCTAGTTGTTAATAAGGTACAAAATTCAATATTTTATTAGTAACTCATCTGCAATATCTATTAAATAATATATGTATTTATAATTCCCAATAATTTTATAAGGACCGTTTATACATGGAGAATATTGGAGCAGTCAAAGAGTTGTGCAAAATGACCGAAAATCTGGAGGCACGTATTAGTGAACTTGAGAAAATTAACCAGAAGTTTAACACGTTAACAAGTAAACATTAAATTCATAATAAAAATATTTAATTTTAAAATACTGAAATAAAATTTTGATAATTTTGCAGTTTCGACAACTAGATTACGGCGATGTTCATCATGTCGCAGTAAACATGATAATGTTAAAAAGCATAAAAAGTATTTACGAACCAAATCCAAAAATGGCAAATTTCTATCAAGTCAACTGATTCAAATTATAATTGTTGTCCTCATATTCATCTTAGCCTCGTGGTAAGTAACTAGTAAATATAAATAACTAGTAAATAGTAATACAAATAACTATAAATAGCCTATAGAAAACATTAATAGTTTCAAAGAAAAACTTATTAAATATCAAGCAGTAGTGATAGGATTTTACAGGCAAAACAAAAAAGAAAACAGAAAAGTGTTATAAATTACCTCATAACGGCTAAGATAACTCATAATAATAAGTTCTGATTGATAATCGTAAAACTAAATAAATATTTATTATTATTTTATTACTAACCAGTTTATTCCTCGTTTTCAGTTTAGCAGCTATGTCTACAATATATTTCTTCGAACATTCGAATCGGCATAACCGTGCCCATCAACATGTAGTGTCCACAAATTTCTTATCATCACCAGACGAAGACAAATCTGTGTAAATCTGAATAGAACTATAATATCTACACAAAAAAATGAGTAAGTTGTAATTAAAGTCAATCGCTGTTACATAATAAATAGGTGAAAAATTATAGGGAATGGTTAAGCTCAAATTGTATCCATTAAATTAATAATTCAATGAATCACTTAATTCAATAATAATCACTAAATTATTTACCATTATAAATTCATTATAACTGCTTGCAGAAGAATGCTGATATTACGAGTAAATGGCCAGAAAGATAAGTGCATCAATTCCACATCGACAAGTCCTAGGTTTACATTTGTTAGTGGTTTCAAACAAGAAACTAAACAACATACAAAATGTTTTATTTATTTTCGATTTTCGGTACTAATTATCAGATTTTGTCCAAGTATATTAAAAAAATAAGCATTACTGTGACTTTTGGCAAGTAAAGAAGTCTTCTGTGTCATCACGCTAAGTTTGGCATTCGATTTACATTTAAGTCATTGGTTTTAATTCCAACACCAATTGAATAATATATTAAAGCAATTTCAAATCATATTTTAAAATACTAGGTATATTTAAATAAATGCTGTCTATATATTCATACAAATTCAATTTTATATCGTACCAGATGGAATAAGTGTATCAGTACTGAAGCATCGAAAATAAATTACATGTACATTAATTTATATATATATATATATATATATATATATATATATATATATATGAGAATTATTAAAAATACCTTCTAAACAAAGTTGAATAACTTATGTACCATGATCAACATTCCTGTGAACAAGTGCAGTAAACAAAATATGCATTGTAGAGATGAAAGATCAATGGTGATATATTTTCTTATTTAGATTTGGTGACTTTTCCCTAAATAGAATAATAATTAATTAAAATTAAACAAATAATAATCTTAAATAATATAAAATGTAGATTCTGATTCCAAATCATTATAATCCAGATTTTTAACTTAAATTTCAAACAATTTCAAAATTATGAAAATATAAAGTACCTGAACAACACACATAAATATATGGCATCAAAAATAGAAATAATATGTAAATTTTTAAAAGTGAATAAATTTAAAATGTTATCTATCAATATTTAAAATTCAATGAATAAATATCGTAAACAAAATATTTTAGAAATAGTTCATGCACTTTCAGTTAATGTAAACCGAACAATGAAATTGATTTACAAAGCCAAAAGCAAAATTGTAGAATAAATTTAAAAAAATGTAAAAAACAACAAAATTCATTATATTAGAATGTGATAAATAAGAAAAAAATGATTATTTTCATTTATCTTGTAGTTAATTTAGATTTATATAATTTAGAAAATGAATAATAGAGTAATATATAGTAATATTAAAATATTTTGTAAGTCTAACATTATTTACTGTATAAAAATCAATATAGAATATCTAAACGAATACGTTTCCCTTTAGATTATTTTTACCACCTGTAAATATTATTTATATTTAGTACTAACTTTATGATATACAAAATTAATCAATCAATGTGTACTCACCGCTAGTTCAGCTGCTTATGCTCTAATAAAATCACTTAAAAATATAGCATTGTTTCAAGAACATCAGTAAGTAACTTCCCAAATAATTCCAATTTGTATATATTATGAATGTTTTGTAAATTAGATGTGATTTGGCCATTAGGGTAACTGTTCTTCGATGTCTTCATAAAATAATCATATTGTAGTTATATCAGGTTCCAAATATACATGCTATATTGTAACTGTAATTACCTTTCACATAAAATAGCTACAAGTAATTGTTTTAGAGCTCTTAGTTTAATATTCATAATATCTGCAATAACAAAAATTAGGATTTCCGCAAACTATGTATACTACTTAAAACATCTAATGTATAATATTTAAGCTCTTTATTACAGTAGCATACATAAGTAATTTTGCAATTCCAATCTTTGTAATACTATACAAAATATTCATTATAAATAATATAATTAAATATTGTTCGATATTTGCCAAAAAATAGTAATAGTGGTTAATATTGATTTGTTCATAAATACTAATACACAATTTACAGCTAAAATTATTGGCTCATAGTATCCATAATAGAATACAGTGTTTAAAATAAAAACAATGCCGTAATATTACTGAATAAGTAATGCTATGTAAATATCACATAAGTGTTAAACTCACTTTTATATATTTATTAGTAACTATATCAAATAGTATAAAAATAAATGTCACGCATTCGCAAACTAAATGCTCATCAAATCAATAAACATAAAAATTGTTCTAATTTTTGCAAAATATAGCTAAAATTATACACATAATCTATAACAAATAATTTTAGGCATAGATGATTAATCACATAAAAATATACTCAAATAATCTCACTGTTTAGAATTATGACTCATTTGATTATATAATAAAACCTTAATAATAACATTATGACTATCATATTCTTTCATAGTCGGTAAATATATAATATAAAAATACGTTACATATCTAAAGGCAGAAGTAGCACTAAAATATTTTAAAATGGGTTTAAGCAGCGCATACAAATAGAATTTCAATAACATATCGCAAATTGGAAACATTACTACCTTAAACCTGTGTATGTGGTAACATGATGTTTTTGTAATAAATGTGATGTTATAATATTATTTGATCATTTTAATAAAATGTCATGCCCCAGAATAAAACCTATTTCATTGACCATCAACCGTCATCAGAAAATAATCACCTCATATTGGTTGTAAAAGATTCAGGAGATATTGGAGCACCTCTTGCATACAGTGCTTCAAATACAACTTGCAATCTCATCTGGTTTCATCAATCGGTAC